CATCTACAGACTCTCCAGGACCTACCAGAACATCTACAGGCTCTCCAGGACCTACCAGAACATCTACAGGCTCTCCAGGAGCTACCAGAACATCTACAGGCTCTCCAGGACCTACCAGAACATCTACAGGCTCTCCAGGAACATCTACCAGGACCTACCAGAACATCTACAGGCTCTCTACCATCTACAGAGGCTCTCCAGGAGCTACCAGAACATCTACAGGCTCTCTACCAGAACATCTAGGCTCTCCAGGCTCTCCAGGTACCAGCTACCAGAACATCTACAGGCTCTCCAGGACCTACCAGAACATCTACAGGCTCTCCAGGAGCTACCAGATCTACACTCTCCAGGAGCTACAGGCTCTCTCCAGAACATCTACAGGAGCAGCTACCAGAACATCTACAGGCTCTCTACATCTACAGACTCTCCAGGAGCTAAAAGAAGTTAAAGTGGTCATGAGGTGTTTGGTCCTACGTTGTTCTGGGACTAATCGTGTAGATGTCGTAGATGTTGTAGATGTTTGTTGTAGATGTTGTTGTAGATGTTGTAGATGTTTGTTGTAGATGTTTGTTGTGGATGTTTGTTGTAGATGTTGTAGATGTTTGTTGTAGATGTTGTAGATGTTTGTGTGGATGTGTTGTTGTAGATGTTTGTTGTAGATGTTGTTGTAGATGTTGTAGATGTTTTGTTGTGGATGTTTGTTGTAGATGTTTTGTTGTAGATGTTTGTTGTAGATGTTTTGTTGTAGATGTTTGTTGTGGATGTTTGTTTGTTGTTGTAGATGTTGTTGTAGATGTTGTAGATGTTTGTTGTGGATGTTTGTTGTAGATGTTTGTTGTAGATGTTGTAGATGTTTGTTGTGGATGTTTGTTGTAGATGTTGTGTTTGTTGTAGATGTTGTAGATGTTTGTTGTGGATGTTTGTTGTAGATGTTTGTTGTAGATGTTTGTTGTGGATGTTGTGGATGTTTGTTGTGGATGTTTGTTGTAGATGTTTGTTGTGGATGTTTGTTGTAGATGTTGTTGTAGATGTTTGTTGTAGATGTTGTAGATGTTTGTTGTGGATGTTTGTTGTAGATGTTTGTTGTGGATGTTTGTTGATGTTTGTTGTTGTTGTAGATGTTGTTTGTGTTTGTTGTAGATGTTTGTTGTGTAGATGTTGTAGATGTTTGTTGTAGATGTTTGTTGTGGATGTTTGTTGTAGATGTTTGTTGTAGATGTTGTAGATGTTTGTTGTAGATGTGTTGTTGTATGTTGTGGATGTTTGTTGTAGATGTTTGTTGTAGATGTTGTTGTAGATGTTTGTTGTAGATGTTTGTTGTAGATGTTTGTTGTAGATGTTGTAGATGTTTGTTGTGGATGTTTGTTGTGGATGTTGTTGTAGATGTTTGTTGTAGATGTTTGTTGTGGATGTTTGTTGTAGATGTTGTGTTGTTTGTAGATGTTGATTTGTGTAGATGTTGTTGTAGATGTTTGTTGTGGATGTTTGTTGTAGATGTTTGTTGTAGATGTTGTTGTGGATGTTTGTTGTTGTTGTTTGTTGTAGATGTTTTGTTGTAGATGTGTTTGTTGTGGATGTTTGTTGTGGATGTTTGTTGTGGATGTTTGTTTGTTGTGGATGTTTGTTGTAGGATGTTTGTTGTAGATGTTTGTTGTAGATGTTGTGGTGATGTGATTTTGTGGATGTTGTAGATGTTGTTGTAGATGTTGTTGTAGATGTTGTTGTAGATGTTTGTTGTGGATGTTTGTTGTAGATGTTTGTTGTAGATGTTGTTGTAGATGTTGTTGTAGATGTTGTTGTAGATGTTGTTGTAGATGTTTGTTGTAGATGTTGTGTAGATGTTGTAGATGTTTGTTGTGGATGTTTGTTGTAGATGTTGTTGTAGATGTTTGTAGATGTTGTAGATGTTTGTTGTTGTAGATGTTTGTTGTAGATGTTTGTTGTAGATGTTTGTTGTAGATGTTTGTTGTAGATGTTTGTTGTAGATGTTTGTTGTAGATGTTTGTTGTGGATGTTTGTTGTAGATGTTTGTTGTGGATGTTTGTTGTAGATGTTTGTTGTGGATGTTTGTTGTTTGTGTTGTTGTAGATGTTTGTTGTAGATGTTGTGAGATTGTGGATGTTTGTTGTAGATGTTTGTTGTGTGATGATGTTGTTGTAGATGTTTGTTGTGGATGTTTGTTGTAGATGTTTGTTGTAGATGTTGTTGTAGATGTTTGTTGTGGATGTTTGTTGTAGATGTTTGTTGTGGATGTTTGTTGTAGATGTTTGTTGTGGATGTTTGTTGTGGATGTTTGTTGTAGATGTTTGTTGTAGATGTTTGTTGTGGATGTTTGTTGTAGATGTTTGTTGTAGATGTTGTAGATGTTTGTTGTAGATGTTGTTGTAGATGTTTGTTGTGGATGTTGGTTGTAGATGTTTGTTGTAGAGTTGTTGTAGATGTTTGTTGTAGATGTTGTTGTGGATGTTTGTTGTGGATGTTTGTTTTGATGTTGTAGATGTTTGTTGTAGATGTTTGTTGTAGATGTTGTAGATGTTTGTTGTAGATGTTTGTTGTAGATGTTTGTTGTAGATGTTTGTTGTATTGTGGATGTTTGTTGTAGATGTTTGTTGTAGATGTTTGTTGTAGATGTTTGTTGTAGATGTTTGTTGTAGATGTTTGTTGTAGATGTTTGTTGTAGATGTTTGTTGTAGATGTTTGTTGTAGATGTTGTAGATGTTTGTTGTAGATGTTTGTTGTAGATGTTTGTTGTAGATGTTTGTTGTAGATGTTTGTTGTAGATGTTTGTTGTAGATGTTTGTTGTAGATGTTTGTTGTGGATGTTTGTTGTAGATGTTTGTTGTAGATGTTGTTGTTGTTGTGATTGTTGTTTTGTTGTAGATGTTGTTGTTGTTGTAGATGTTTGTTGTGGATGTTGTTGGATGTTTGTTGTAGATGTTTGTTGTAGATGTTTGTTGTAGATTTGTTGTAGATGTTTGTTGTGTTTGTTGTGGATGTTTGTTGTGGATGTTTGTTGTAGATGTTTGTTGTAGATGTTGTAGATGTTGTTGTAGATGTTTGTTGTGGATGTTGTTGTGTTTTGTGGATGTTGTTGTAGATGTTTGTTGTGATGTTTGTTGTGGATGTTGTTGTGATGTTTGTTGTAGATGTTGTTGTAGATGTTGTGTTGTGGATGTTTGTTGTAGATGTTTGTTGTAGATGTTGTTGTAGATGTTTGTTGTGGATGTTTGTTTGGATGTTGTTGATGTTTGTTGTAGATTGTTGATTGTTGTGTTTGTTGTAGATGTTTGTTGTAGATGTTTGTTGTAGATGTTTGTTGATGTTTGTTGTGGATGTTTGTTGTGTAGATGTTTGTTGAGATGTTTGTGTTGGATGTTGTTGTAGATGTTTGTTGTGATGTTTGTTGTAGATGTTGTTGTTGTTGTTGGATGTTGTAGAATGTTTGTTGTAGATGTTTGTTGTAGATGTTTGTTGTAGATGTTTGTGTAGATGTTTTGTTGTAGATGTTTGTTGTTGTTGTTGTAGATGTGTTGTTGTAGATGTGTTTGTTGTAGATGTTTGTTGTAGATGTTTGTTGTGGATGTTTGTTGTAGATGTTTGTTGTAGATGTTTGTTGTAGATGTTTGTTGTAGATGTTTGTTGTAGATGTTTGTTGTAGATGTTTGTTGTGGATGTTTGTTGTAGATGTTTGTTGTAGATGTTTGTTGTAGATGTTGTGGATTTTGTGGATGTTGTAGATGTTTGTTGTAGATGTTGTTTGTTGTAGATGTTTGTTGTAGATGTTGTTGTAGATGTTTGTTGTAGATGTTTGTTGTAGATGTTTGTTGTAGATGTTTGTTGTAGATGTTTGTTGTAGATGTTTGTTGTAGATGTTTGTTGTAGATGTTTGTTGTAGATGTTTGTTGTAGATTGTTGTTGTTTTGTAGATTGTTGTAGATGTTGTTGTAGATGTTTGTTGTAGATGTTTTGTTTGTTGTAGATGTTTGTTTGTGTTGTTGTAGATGTTTGTTGTAGATGTTTGTGTAGATGTTTGTTTAGATGTTTGTTGTAGATGTTTGTTGTAGATGTTTGTTGTAGATGTTTGTTGTGGATGTTTGTTGTGGATGTTTGTTGTAGATGTTTGTTGTAGATGTTGTAGATGTTTGTTGTAGATGTTTGTTGTAGATGTTTGTTGTAGATGTTGTTGTTGTTGTAGATGTTTGTTGTAGATGTTGTGGATGTTTGTTGTAGATGTTTGTTGTAGATGTTTGTTGTAGATGTTGTTGTAGAGTTGTGTGTTTGTTGTAGATGTTTGTTGTAGATGTTTGTTGTAGATGTTTGTTGTGGATGTTTGTTGTGGATGTTTGTTGTAGATGTTTTGTTTGGATGTTTGTTGTTGGATGTTTGTTGTAGATGTTTGTTGTGGATGTTTGTTGTGGATGTTTGTTGTAGATGTTTGTGTAGATGTTGTGGATGTTTGATTTGTGTTGTGGATGTTTTGTTGTGGATGTTGTTGTAGATGTTGTTGTAGATGTTTGTTGTGTAGATGTTTGTTGTAGATGTTTGTTGTAGATGTTGTAGATGTTTGTTGTAGATGTTTGTTGTAGATGTTTGTTGTAGATGTTTGTTGTAGATGTTTGTTGTTTGTTGTAGATGTTTGTTGTGGATGTTTGTTGTAGATGTTTGTTGTAGATGTTTGTTGTAGATGTTTGTTGTAGGATGTTTGTTGTAGATGTTTGTTGTAGATGTTTGTTGTAGATGTTGTGGATGTTTGTTGTGGATGTTTGTTGTAGATGTTTGTTGTAGATGTTGTAGATGTTGTAGATGTTTGTTGTAGATGTTTGTTGTGGATGTTTGTTGTAGATGTTTGTTGCAGATGTTGTAGATGTTTGTTGTAGATGTTGTGGATTTTGTGGATGTTGTAGATGTTGTTGTAGATGGTGGAGAAGTTCTAAACATCATAAACCTTCCAGACATTGTGACTCATTGTGACTCACGTCCTGCAGAAGTTTCTCCAGACT